AATTAAGTTGATATATAATTAAAAATAAAAATATAGTTCAATAAATAAATTAAATTTATTCTTAACAAAGATTACCTCATATTTATTCTTTTTTTTATTTTATTAAGTTAAATTGCTTACAAACGAAAAAAAAAAAAGAGTTTTGTAATTATACGTAGAATGAAAATACTTTTGAGTTTGTTTATAAGTTAAGGAACTTAATTTTTAATAAACAAATTTTTACGAACGTTTATTATAAACAGATACGATTCAAATTATTAAATATACTTAAATTATTTCAGTTGAGTATTTTTATAAGTTTGCACGATTAAAGTTTGGCGTACAAGTATTTGTTTTTTTGTTTTAAGAATAATTAATAAAAGAGTTTGCATAATTTAGACTTTTATATTTAATTTAATTTTTTTTTTAATTTCCTAAAATTAAAAAAAAAAAAGATTTAATCGTTGAAAACGATTTTTCTCTATAGCTCTGTTTCTTTGTGATTTGTTTAAAAAGTTAAATATTTTTACAATAACATAAAAAGTTTATGAATTAAATTCCTAGCGAACGCGTTCTAAACTACCTATCAAAAATACGCTTCAAAGCAGACAAAACTTTTTTATATTTTTATAAAACGCAAGTTGAAACGCTTTTAAAAATTTTAAAAATATTTAAAAACTTATATTTTTCTTTGCTAGTCAAAACAAAATCGTTGTTTAAATAATTAACATGGGTTGGTGTTTATCAATGTTAATATTTTTTGTTTACTCTAGAAATTTTTAAAAATAAAAAAAATCATTATTATTTTTTATTCAATAACGATTAAAAACAATTATTCAAAAAAAATTTCAGAAATAATTAATATATATATATATATATATATTTTTTTTTACTAAATAATATTGAACTAAAATTAATAATAAAATAACAATTAAAAACATTACAAAATTTTCATAATAAATTTATATTTAAAACGTTTATAGTTTATATTTGAGTTAATTGTTAAATTGAATTAGTTTGCGGTTATTTATTTATTGCGGTAGTTAAAACACTTAACGTCTATAAAAAAAAATAAAGATAATTTTATGACGCCAAAATCGCGTTAAGCTAATGCATTAAGCACTTTTTTATTTAAAACAAGGCCTGCTATCTGTGAGTGTATGAGCAGCCATGTATGAGGGACATTTATAAAGTTAAAAAAAACTATTTTTAATTTATTGTTTTCTTTGCATCTTTTTTTTTAAAACCTTTGTGCATTTTGCCTTGCATTGACATTTATAATAAATAAAATATACTGATAAAATTTATTTTAAAAATGTTAAAATGAAACCAGCCTTCGAGAAGAGGCGTGTGGTCACACACTTTATATGACCAAAAATACAATACTCTTTTTTTACAACTTGACCACAGCTTTTTTTGTATATTTTAACAACTTGATTGTTTAAAAAATGCGCTGAAAAAGCTTAACTAATATAAAAAGAAAATTTAAAATAAACAAACCATATAATAAAAAGAGAAACAGGCTTAAAAAATGATAAAATAAATGAAGGATAAACCAGAGAAAATAAATGCCTAATAATAATATATTTTATAATTTAGGAGTCTCAATTAATAGTTTGAACCTATTAATTTAATTTAATTAAAAAACGAAATATAACATTGTTATATTTATGAGACGACTGTTAGTTTGACATTTGATAAGGCTTCAAATCCCATTTAACTGATAGTTTTTTTAATATTTTAATTACTTAGTAGACATTAGAAAGTATTAAAGTTTCAAATTTTTAAATAATTAAGTTTCAAATTAATTAAGTTTGGATTGAATAACTTTGAAAATTCAATCTTTTTTAAATTACATGAAGAGAAAAACTTTGAAATTAAAATTTTATGCTTTTATTTTTTCTTTCATTTATTTTATCACTTGTTAAAGTTTTTTTTTTAGTTAAATTTGTATTTTTTTTTTTTAAGTTTATTTTTCTTTTCAGTTTATTTTGTTTAGTTTGGTTTGTTTATTTTCAATTTTAGTCTAAGCTTACATTTGTTTATTTAGTGCATTTTTTAAACACTCAGATTTTCAAAATTTGCAAAGAGCTAAGTTGTCAAATTATTTGTTATTTAGTCAAAATTAATTTATTTTAATCATTAATGTCAGTAAAAAAATTATGTATAATAATAGAATTTAAGATGGTAGTATGTTAAAAATAACAAAATTATATTTCTTGAATATAACTTTTCTTGGAATTTTTAGGCGTGCTGAAAATAATAGAATTATTCATTTTTATTATCAACTATATAAATGCTTCAACTTTTTATTTTAAACAAGGTACTATAATATATTGCTCCTCAGCAACAGCATAGCAATGAATATAATTGACATATGACTGACATATATTTTCTGAAATTAAATTTTTGTATAGCTAAACCACTTTACTGTGCTGAAATATTTTCTGAAACTTTTGTGAGAATTTTTTTCAACTTTACACCCCCAACCAACAATCTTATTGTTAATGACAAAGCTATTCCACAACTTCAACTAATCAAAATAATTTTAATGTTTTAATTAATGTTGATGTTATTAAGTAATTTCTTCACTTTGTTGGAACATGTGCTGACTGCAAAAAGAACTCTTATAACATGAGTATTGATCATGAAAATAAAAGGATATCAAGCTTGAAATGTTTTATACCAAGTAGTGTTCATTCTATACCAAGTAAAAAAGTTTTAAATAAAACCTCTGAAGATTTTATGATATAAATCTAAATTTAATAACTGCAATGCATAAAAGTAGGAAAGGGCATAGTGCATTAGAAAAACTATAAGTATTGTGAATTTTAGACTGTGACTGCCATGTGACTCAGATGTGACTCCCATGTGACTTTTTATAATATTTCATAGTCGATTGCTTGTAGTAGCACTTATTTTCTTTTTCTAGCACTATATTTATATAAAACCAAAATATATATCACTACTTATTATGGTGCTTTGAAATTTTGTTATATACAGTTGTATATACAGTTGTATATACAGTTGTAGTAAAATGATGAACTCATTGAAGCATTACATTTTTCTAATTTTTCATTTTCTAGAATAGTGTTTATAATAACAGCAGTCTGACACCCCAAAAAAAATTCTGTTGCCAAGGAAACAAAATGTTTCTTGTATAGCAATTCTCTTGTATGTATCTATGCTCCCTTGATTGTTTAAATTTAATTTCATAATTAGTCATAAGTTAAATTTCAGTCAAATTTAAATTGTTTTCACTATTAACAAATATACATTAGATTTAATTTTTTTTTAATTGCAATAGTAGTAGAAAAAGTGGTTGAGTATTATATATTATAGTATATATAATAGTTGATCTATTAATACATTTACACTAATAATTAATCTTGTTAATTTTAGCTAAATGACTTTTTGTTTGTTTTTTTAAACTTGTTTGCTAATTTGATTTATATTAAACTTTTAAACTTGTTTTTAATTTAAGTTTAGCTTAACTTACGCACAGCTATAACTTACATAACTTTTGTAAATATTAACTAACACAAACGCTACAAAAAGTTCAAAAATATCAAATGCAAAAAAGTAAATGAAAATCTTGTACAGTTTCCATGACAAGAATAATGAAAGTTTAGTGAATCCATACCCAGGCTTGCGGTTACAGAATTAATTAAGTCTCTTGATGAACCCATGAAGTCAACAAATTTCTGGTTAAGCCTAAGATTGTTCCAGATTGTCTTTTTCAATCCATCAAATGTTGTGTTGAATAGAATTCTTTTTTACACAATTATAAGAATAATTATAGTAAAATTTTATAACAACTAAACAGTTTTTAATATAGGTTACAGAGGTTGTGCATATTTTTATGAGAAGAGAAAAAGTTACATAAGAGAACAAAAAAGTCAGCAGGAGTTTTATAAGGAAAACAATTTAAGCTATAACCTGGTTGAACTAAAAGATTTTAAATAAAACTTACAAGTTGTTTGTTAACTATAAATAAATTTTAATAAAATGTATTAGTAGTTGTTTATTATAACATATTTATTTGATTTACTTATAGTAAATTAAAATTTTTAGATAGAGGATAATATATTTTTATTTACTAACTAGCATATTTTGCCACACATTTTTTTAAGAATCTAAAACAATGCATCTAAAACCAGAGTTGTTAGTCCTTGGCCTTGCCTTAAGGCTAAAAAATGAGGCCTTGGCCTTAATTGTTTTGGACTTAAAAATTACATATTTTCTTGTTTTTTCATTGAATTCTGCGCATAACCTTGATCTATTTTTACAAAATGTGGTTTTATTGCCACAGCACGTGCTACTTACAGTTTTGTTAATAATTGGTCTTAACATAAGGCAAAAATTGTAGTCTTTGGTCTTGAAAATGTTTGCATAGGCCTTGGCTTTGAAGCTCTAAGTCTTGGCCTTGACTTTAAAACTCTTGGTCTTGTCCTTGGCCTTGTAACTTTTGGCTTTGGTCTTGGCCTTGTAACGTGTGGTCTTGACCTTGGCCTTGCTACTTTTGGCCTCGTTAACAACTCTGTCTAAAAACAAGCATAATTCTTAACTTTACTAGAATCATCTTTCAATGAAACTTATCTTTTCATATTGAACTTATTAAAAGTTTAATCAAATAAATTTTTATTTCAATATACATTTTTTGCAAAATATGAAACTTTCATAAATTCAAAATAATAAATATGAAGTTAATCATAAATTTAAAAAAATATATTTGTTTGAATATTATTTTTCATACTTTGGTCATTTTTCTGTTAAAAACAATCTCGAACCTTTTTAATTTTTTTAAAAAAACTTTTTTTTGCAGCTTTAGAAGACAATAAAATTCATATATATACATATATATATATATATATATATATATATATATATATATATATATATATATATATATATATATATATATATATATATATATATATATATATAAATTAGTTTCTGCAATTGGTACCAGAACAAAATATAGATCTTATTTTTTTTTTCAAATGATATTCAAAACTTACAGTCCATAAACCATTCATGACATCTGAGTCACACAAGTAATCACTAGCACATGCCTAAGGAAAAGTTATCAAATAAAATATCTTTGTACTTTTTTTATTTTTTACATTTTATTTTATATCATTTAAAATAAATAAGAAAATTATAATTTTCAAAAATACTTACAATGTCATCTACTGAATTGAAAAAGTCAGGATAATTTTCATGAATATATAGAAGAAACATTTCAGACGTAATCTGAGTACGCATAAAAACATCCTAATACAAAAATACTTTGACAATAAAACACTGTAACACTGTAAACTATGTTCCTATCAGTTTATATAAACAGTAATAACAAAAGTTCACAATTTTTTCAATAATATAATACTTTCTTATAATAACCTCTGGATCTAAGTTCAACTCCATTCGAACTAATGATTTTTGAGTTGGATTCAGCTGAAAAGCAAAACGTTCCACCTCATTAAGCCCTTTAAAATAAAATTTAAAATAAAAATTAGTTTATTAGTAACTAAATAAAATTACAAAACTTTTAAACTACATAATAATTTACATAAATAAATACCTAAAAAGTTAAATACTTTAAAAAAAAAAAAATTTTTAATATCAAAATAAAAAACAAAAATAAAAAAATAAACAATATTATTAAATCACTTATCTAAAAAAAACAACAAATGAAACTAGTTCTAAAAATAATTAACAATTTTCTTGCAATATTCTAAATTTAAAAAGTTCAAATATTAAGACATTAGAGAGTTAATGTTAAATAAAAAAACTGAAACTATTTTTCAATATTTTAGATCTTATATAAACATAAATTGATCACAAAACCTTTAAAAATAGTTTTTACTAAAGAGTTAATTTTAGGTTGTACATAAAAATATCAAATAAAAATATCAAATAGGACAAGGTTTATATAAAAATAAATTTATATAAACTCTGTCGAACATGATAGACAAAGAAAAACTGTAAATTGGAAAAAAATGAATAAAACAAATATTCTTTTATCTTTGCACTTTTTTTGTTTGTTGAGGAAATAGAAAAACAGAACAGAGTGGCAGAGTGGAACAGAGGCTATTCTTCAGACATCCAAAAGTGAACAAGAATCTGGTAATCATGAGACATTTGGTGAGCACAAATCATCAACAAGTACAACTTTAAAGAGTAAATGTAAAGGTGGCACACAAATACTGAATGATAACTTAGCAGTGTGTCTGGATATGGCAAAGATCAGTTTTAGAAATGCTGCACTAGTCCTGACTCTAGCATTGCAGCTTATATCTGCAGCATAACTTGGTTATGATGCAGCAGATATTAATATCAATCAGCAAATGCAATAATTTCAATTGCAACACTAGAAATGGCATTGTTTACGATGTCATTTGAAGTTGATGCCTGAAATTTTGACTGGTCAATAAATTCCTAACTGCTTTTAAATTTTTTAAAAATTGTGACGTCTGACCTTTGAAGGGTCAAGAAAAAGAGTAACCGCTGCCTCTTTTGTCTATTTCTAAAATGTGATAATGTCAAGTAAACTAGAGTAATTCTTTGTTGAGCTTTGTCAAATTTAAGCGAAATTTGTTTTTTAAATTTGAACATAATTTTCAAATTTTTGTGAGTGTTTATTAAAAAAGATTTTAATTAAGCTTTTTTTTTCTTTGTGCTTAGAAATAAATAAATGCTTAGACCATATGAATCTTTTTTCTTTAAAAAAGATTTTAATTAAGCTTGTATCTACTAATTTCACTTTGATTAAGTCTTACTTTAAATACTTAGATAAAAAAGCAACTATAAAAATATAGTGTAATAAAAATAATAAATATTAAATTTGAATAGGTTTTAAAAACTATAAAATGCATGTACAATCTATTTAGTCAGTAAATGTTCTGAAATCTCACCCCCCCCTAACTACATATTGCATTAGGCCTCCATAATAGTATATCTAATACTGCATTCATAAATGTAAATGTGAGTGTTTATATATATATATATATATATATATATATACACACACAGACACCCAGAAATTTCTTTCTTTTCTTGACATTTGCATAAATGAATTAAAATATGTTAAATTTTAAATGATTATTTCTAATTGCGGCTTTGCAACTACAAATGATTTTTTAATAAAAAATAATAAGCGAGTAACAAATAAAAATATTACTTTAATTTATTGTTTTATTAATGATTTTGTTGTGAAAGCAAAGATTATTTTTCCAAACATCATTTATTAAAATAATATCGATGTATAAATTAGTCATTTTTCAACATTTTTTAATAAATGCTTAGATCATATGAATTTTAAATGTGTTGGTCCTTATATAAAACTAATTCAATAAAAAAAAAGAAAAATTTTAATTTTTAGGTTTTTAAATTTTGACCTCAAAAACCGAAGTTTTGGGTAAAAAATGCAATATGCGCTTTACCTCAATTTTTGACCAGTAAATCAGATTGACTCAACAACATCTTCAATCAAATCCTCAATTTTAATTTTGACTAAAAAACTTAATAATTTAAAAGTTTACAAAAAATCGTTATTTTTGCTATACTTTGCCATAATCTCGCTTAAACAATATATGACTGTAATGAATAAAATTTTTTTTTAAAAGATTCCTCAATCACCACCCCAAATACTATTAGTTAAAAACATATAAAATCATTTATAAGTAATTTTTATAAATTTACTTGATTATACTAACTATACAACAAAGTTATTTCAAAGGTTTTGAAAGAACTTATTTCAAATACCAGTTACAATATCAAACTTAGAATTTATTATATCAAAACTTATTATACAAATATCAAAGTTAGAACTTATTTCAAAGGTTTTTAAAGAACTTATTTCAAATATCAGTACTCCAAAATTAGTTTGATATTAGTTTCAGCATCAGTATTAATTTTTGGAATTTTTCTTAAGTAGTGTTTTCTAGAAAACTTTAACTTCTTATTGAAAGTCTTCACTACAAACACCCAGTGTTCTTTATCTTTGCTATGAAGTAGTACTTGAAGTATGGATTCACTGTGAGCATTCCAGGCAGAGCAACAAACATAGGGTTAAACTGTTTTCTGAATATTTAAGCTCATTTTTTGGACATTTTCCAGCTGTCTAATAATATGGTTTGAACCATTAGTCCATTTTCGTTTTACCTAAACAATATTAATCTAAAATAAAAATTATCAAAGTAAATATAAAAAGTTCATACTTTAATTTCAAACCATAATACAGAGTATACACCAACACAAAATTGTACAAGGTGTTTTTATATTCTCAGCATTGTTTTTATTTAGAACATGGTATCTTTAATTGCTTTTATTATTAAGTATAGATATCTTTGATCGCTAGATAAATTTTTTAAAGTACCTTCATCAACACCTAATAAATCAATATCTATACCTTGAATTACATTAGTGGAAATTTTGATATTTTGCCAATAGGGACAAGTTTACTAATGTTGACAGAAAACTTATTGTTTGAAATTTTTAACTAATTCATAATATAAATTAAAAAAAATAAGCTGTTAAAAGATTTTTAGAAAGACATGGACAAATAGTTTCAAGCGTTTAAATTTATTATTAAAAATACATACCTAGTAAAAAAAATTTGTTATAATATTTAATTTACATATAAGTTTTTTTTTCTAAAAAATGATTAACACCTACTTTCCAACCTAAAAAAATACTTATTAACTTATTACTTATTAACTAAATACTTATTAACTAAATACTTATTAAAACATATGCATGGCATTTAACATATATTAAGAATATTTACCTGTATTTATTTTCAAACCATATTTATATAGATTAAGATTAGTTTAGAGAAGTGAAGTGAAGCTGGAGAATCGGAAGAAATATATTTATTACACATACTTAAACATTAAATTCAGAGGTGCCTGTGGTACACATTTTTTGCAATCATTTATATATATATATATATATATATATATATATATATATATATATATATATATATATATATATATATATATATATATATATGTATAAACTTTATTTATTGTGTGATCAATAATATAAAAACTGTTAAAAAAATTCATATAAAATCAATATTAATTATTTTCATAACAAATCACACTTAATATTAATTAATTCAATCAATATTAATTATTTTCATAACAAATCACACTTAATATTAATTAATTCAATCAATATAATTTTTTAAAGATTTCTTAGAGTACCATTATAGGTACCTTTAGATTATATATACATATAATTTATTATATATTTGTAATTAATGTTCTTATATGAGAATTAGTTAATTCACAGCCAACAGCAACTAGAGAGCAACTAGTAGATTCTACACATTGTTCTATAATCTGCTAAATATCTGCTGGGATAATAAACTCTGATCTGTTTTCTTTGTCATTCGTAAAATGGTACAGATATAAACCACCTGGCTCTGCACAAATTGAATAATGGTCTTCATGTACAAGTCTATGGCAAAATTTTCCATTTTCTCCAATCAAAGAAAATTTTGTCTCATACTTTCTCCCATCAAACATTATACATTGAACTCCACCTCTTTTTACCATAACATCATTTTCAGACTTTAATTGTTTCATTACCTCAATTTAGAGTGTTCAATTTTCTTGCGATCTATTACTTTTCATTGTCAGTCACATTCATTTTAAAAAAGCCTGCCTCTTTAGCTGCTTTTAGTGATAGTGTTGAAATTGCAGCAGTTGCTCTATTTGATACACTGTATCTTAATGATGCTAATGCAACTTCTTTCATATTCAATGACTTTTTAGGAACTTGTCTGCTTATGTACTCAGAATTTTCTATGGAAAAAAAACATCTTCATTTTCCAAAATTTTCAATTTACACTAAAGTTTTTTTTCTTCTTGAGAATAAAAAGATAGGTATTCTATTTGTGACTTCTTTTTTCGAGTGTTCTTCCTTAAATAAGTTTTTTCTTGTCTGTTAGCTTCTGTTAGTTTCTTCTTAGCTGAGCACCCATTTGCATACAACTTTTTGCCCTAAATTTTTCTTTTTGAGATTTCATAAACTGAAGTTCTATTTTGGAAATTTCGTTTTCTCTCTTGCATTAACAAGAATCTAAAAATTCACTTGCAAAACCAATCATTATACTTATTTTGCAACTTCTACTATTTTTATGTGTTCATTTAGCCATCAATAAAGAACTCAAAGTTTACACTAGTTTATAAACAATATTTTTTGTGTATTTAACGTGTCAACTCAAATGCAGTATTTCAAATGCATCAACTTATGAATGATATTTTTAAATTTATTTTATATAACTTATTAAATAAATTCAAGTTTAAACAAAATTTTTTGTAATAACGCAAGATATTACAGCAAAGTGTAGCAAAAATAACGATCTTTGTAAACTTTAAAAATCATAAGTTTTTAAGTTAAAATGACTGTCTAGGTGTCTAATAAAGGGTATTTGGGATCGAGGATTTGATTGAAGATGTTTTTGAGTTAATCTGAATAACCAGTCGTTGCAACCAAAGTTGCAGTAAACCGCGTATGTGGCATTTTTTTACTTAAAAACTCAGTTTTTAGGTTTTCAAATTTGAAAACCTAAAAACTTTTAAAATTTAAAAACTTAATTTTGAGTATTTAAAAAATGTTTCGGATGGAAAATCGAAAAAAACTATGAAAAAACTATATATAACTAATTAAACTATGTACTAACTTTTGCAATAAAGTATTTTTCCAAGAGCTCTAAACAAAAACAATGACGAATCTTTACAATTGATCAAGGTACCAGAGCCATCTTTGTTCTTATGAGAATTATATTTTCTTCCTTTTGAATTATTTTTTTCTATATTCTTAGATTTAGGGAGAAAACCTAAAAAGAATAAAACAAAATAATATCTAAAATAAGAATAAAACATATATATATATATATATATATATATATATATATATATATATATATATATATATATATACAAATAGTATTGCGTACAAAGGTAAGCAATCTGACGCCATACTGAAATAGCCTGCTGCTGGGGGCTTCAGTACATACATCGACTGACAAATGACCTGACTCGCAGTGGAGTGCGAGTGACAAATGGCCTGACTCGCAGTCGACTGAGGTTTTGGGATAGCGCAGTTATCGTTTTATTCATCATTCTTTGTTTTTTTTCTTCTTTTTCGAAAAAAACGGTACGGCTTAAGGTAAGCAGAAAAAGTGAGCAAATGCTTATCAAAACACGCTTTAGTAAGTGTGTGTGTATATATATATATATATATATATATATATATATATATATATATATATATATATATATATATATATATATATATATATATATATATATTCCTAGTATAACACTAATATTAAACTAATTTAACAATTTAATAACAATCAAACAATTACAGTTTGTGCATAAAAACTGCAATGAATTGATGCATGAACGTATATCACCATTGCTTGCTGTTGCCAACATTGAGCAAGTGTCTTTAGATGGAATGGTTATGTTTGATGAGGACTAAAAAGTTATATTTATTGATCAAATTATTTTTATATTAAAATTAATACTAATTTATTAGTTAAAAATTAAAAGTTTTCATAATTACCATTTCTTTTTCAATTATACTATTCATAGTTTTTGTTAGAGCGGTCATTGAAACAGAATTGAAACTAAAAATTTAAAAATAATAATTGAAACAGAATTAAAACTAAAAATTCAAAAATAATAATTGAAACGGAATTAAAACTAAAAAGTAGAAAAACTAATAATTTAAAATTAAATTGCTCAAATAAAAACTATAAGCAAACATAAACAGGAAAAAAAAAACAAAAAAAAACAATACAAAAAAAAAAATATATATATGAAATGAAAATAATAAAATAAAAAAATACAACCTTATTACTTTTATGTTTAGCATAACTTGAATATGCTTAGGAAATACTAAATGCACAGACTCTGAACTATGACCATCAGACATAATAATGATAATTGGAGATCGCCCACCTGCCAAATATTCACTATACAAAAATATTTTGTTTCAATATATAAGTATATACACATACAACTATAAGAGGACACTTAAATTGGTAATTTGATGTCAAACTGAAATAGTAAACTACTGCAAAAATGTATAAATTTAAAAATAATAAAAAAAATTTCTTTAATCTTTTTTATTTAATTTAAAATAATTTTTTTTATTTTAAGTTTTTTTTGCAATAAAATTTATAACAATCTTTATATGAGCAAACTAGTCAAAATAAAAATAATACAAAAACTAAAATAATAATAATAACAAAAATAACAAAAAAATTAGAATTTAAAAAAGTTAAAATAACCGTAATATGTTGTGGAATTTCTCTGGTTTGTGTAAAGCAAAGTTAGGTAAATCCTAAATAACAAACTTTTTATTTTCAATTTTATTATTTATCATTAAAAAAAAAATTTTTTAATTTTTTATCCCATATTTCAAGTAAAGTATTAAAAAAATTTACTTCAATCAACACAACTTTTTTCTGTAAATTTTCATTTTTAATATCA